TTGTATCTCTGGGTATGTAAATAGCAACCAATTTTAGAGCGGAATTAGAGAGGCAAGTTACTTTGAGTCTCAAAGCAGGATACGAACGGGTTGAATTTTATATTTTTAGCCTTTTAAGTAGCCAGGAATTAAAGAAATCCCCCAAAATAATGGTTCAGTTTTATTCAAAATGATCCTATTACGACACTTCAACCATAAACGTTTGTCGATGGCCATGATGTAAAAGGATTGCAACTTGAAAATTGGGCCAATCTTTTCAAGGTTAACTCGTTTAACCCTTTAAGCCCCAATATCTACATACAAATTCTCCAAACTAATCTCCAATTAGTTGAGAGAATTTGATGATAGATCAAGGCATTTTCACTCGGGTGATCATTTTATTAATTCTCATATTTTACCTCTTGACAGTGTATGGATATTGTTAGGAGAAACTTGATCTTGGTCACTATTTTGGGACTTTAAGGGGTAAACGATCATGCCTTGTTACCTTATAGAGAACCAAGTTTGAGAAAAGAAGACTGAGAATACGTAGTTATAATTGCGGCTCAGCTTTGATCGAAAAATGTGGAACTCTCCATGACACAGTTGAGCAGTTTTCGTCTTATTTTGATGTCATTAGTTTTGGCATTTTGCACTCCTGGCAAAGGTTGGCCGCTCAACAGAATTTCGTCATAAAATAGCATAATTTTTAGCAGAAACAAACACGCGACAGGAGCAGCATTACTGGTCCACAATCAGTCGTAAACTTCTATTTCTGACTGTATTTTCCTTCATCACATAGCCTGCAGTGCACGCGTATTGTGGGTGGGCGAAAGCTTGTTTCTGTTCGTATTGTAGCCGCGATCTTTGATTTTATGATTGGGGAAGATTTGGGAGAGTGGAAATAGTGACTAGAATGGATAAGCTTGGAGACCCCAAAGTCAGATTGTCATCTTCACTCAAAATGCACGATAGGAGTCTTGTAACGTAAAGTAGTAAAGAAGAGAAAAAAAAAGAAAACAGTAAGTAGTATGAAGGACTCAAACCCGCATCTTTTGATGTTTAATCCACATCCGTATCCACTACACCATCAAGGGCTAACTGCCGACACCAGTTAATTTTAACTTACGTTACATGGCGTTGATCGTTACATTATTGAAAGCTAACCGTTTTTAAAACAGTGCTTAACACTAATCACTGTACTTCGGTGCTAAACCCTGTATTCAACTCTTTTCGTTGCACAAGTGTCTCTCACGCTGATATGAAATTGGGAAAACGGGTAATATATTTTCATTTGAAAGCGTAATATTTTTCGTAGACCCAAATTCCCTAGTTTCAATGACTTTCCTTCGAAAAAAAAAAAGAATTTCTTTTCTTTACCAAGCGAACACTCTACCCTAGTAATCTTCACTCGAAGAGTTTATGGGATTAAAGGTAGAGGCCGAGAAACGTGGCCTTCGCTCAAATTCTGTCGTCTGGAAAAAGGAATAGAAGGTAGTGAGGCGTTTTCCGGAGACTGGAACATCTCAAGGTAATTGGGCGGCTCAACAGACAGAAAACAAAACTCAAGATGGATTGGGCAGCAAGCAATGGAAAAGCTGTGCGACAGAGTCCCGAGTGTGAGGCGAGAGACTATACAATATTTACATCGGAGACCCTGCCATTATAAATGTACCGCGGCGTTTGACTCGTTCAGCCCATCTGCAGTCGACAGCTACAGGAGCTATGACTTCTATATTCCATTCAATATCACACAAGGATAGTGACGAACGCATTGAGAGGTAAGCAGTAGATAAAGCAGAGGTAGAAGAGGATCCCGGAGGAAGAGTGCGTCACAGATTCATTTCATTTCATTTATTCACCCTTTCACATACTTATTACAGAATAATATTTAAAAGATAATATTATACCTGGGCAGGAGCTCTCAGCAAATTCTTTTGGGCTTTACGAGGAGAGCCCCTGAACAATTTTACTGCGATGATTTATTTTTAAGAATATAAAAAGGATATGGCTGTGTTACGAGGAGAAGTGACTAAGATTAATCATTCATGTGAATACGTTTGTATACTGAAATTCTAATTTTCTTGCTTGTGGAGAAAATCAGTGCTAATTTTTTTCCTCAATAAATCGAATGTTTTAATTGGTAGTTAGGTCTTGCCTGATATTCGTGAACGTTAGAGGACAATCTTGTGTTGTATTGATGAACATCTTGGTTCAGACAAAACAAATCATCGAAAAGATGATGGTAGATTGTTATTTAAGTATGGAAACATGGGCAAAAAAATCAATAGCTTCATTGTCTATATCATCTAAAGGTAACATCGATAGTTGTTTGAAGATAACACCAGTATATATATATTTTTTTATTTAAAAAAGTAATGATCCTTATACCTTAATTTTTTTTGTAGCCTTCTTATTGGTTCTAATCTTGTTGTTCACGTATTTCCCCATACAATGTTACCATAACTTAGCAGGGATAGATAAATGCGTAATATAGACCCCGCATAACAACACGAGGTAGATAATGCCTTGCTCGACAAAGTATACAAGAAAGTTTTGCCTCTACAAACACGACTTATTTGATTTTTCCAGTTAATATTTCCGTCTGTATCAACTCCTAAGAATCTGGCTGATTCTACCTGTTTGATACCTAAACCATCTAAACTAATGTTAACTTTTTGCTTTTTTTTTTTTGCTTTGAATGTCAATAATTCAGACTCTGACGATCCTACGGAAGATAGTGCCGATGACAATTTAAAATGTTTCTTCCAGCCGTCACTACACGTAGTGGACAATTGTTAGAGTTATCTATAAAGAGTGATGGAATTCTGAAATTTGCAATTTGTAGTCTTTCTTTTCCTTGTCGCCCCTTTGCTGTGTTTCAGACACCTCTTTGCGACTTTTACTATGCGTAAGGACAGGATCAAGGAGTGCTTCACATGCTGACTATATCATGACTTGTGAAGGTGAAATCTTATTATCATTCGAAGCAAATTTTTCTTTCTTTTCATTGGTCGAGAGCCCTCAACGTGAACTGCAAATAACTGCCTACAAATGGTCTGCTCATGTACAATGCCGTCCAACAGTTTGGCTGCAAATAATATTCTGCTCATGCGTAAAGGAAACCGTGCTTTTCTCCTTCTTGCGATCGCTCTTGCGTAAAAATGGCAGATCACTTCGCTTTCCAAGGATATTCATTAAAAAAACAAACTCGGTGATCGAATGATAAAACAATTATTGAACTCGATTATCGCAAAATATCGTGATTTGTCAGTGTCTCGCAGATCAATTATTTGCCTCAGCCTTCGGCTTCGGCAAATAATTGATCTGCTCGCCATAGACAAATCACGATATTTTGCTCAACCTCGTCCAATAATTGTTAATTATCCGTGATCCGTGACTAGTCATTTTCGTGGTCCGTGAACCGAACCCGTGGATCCCCCCTTTAATCCTTCAAACCCTAATATCAAAATTGAGATTCTCATTTATTGCCCCTATACTTTTTCAATAGAAGTGGTGGGGAGAATTTGTTGAAATATCAACTAGCGTCATCTTCCCTGATCATGTACTCAATTCTCATGACCAATCTGTTTTCGAAAGCATTGATATTATAAGGACAAATTTCATGCTGATCACCCTTAGTGCTTAAAGGGTTAAGTTTGAAAGAAACCATGCGTGATAAAATGTGAAAAAAAAAATGATCGAGCGACCTCTATCATATGATGCTCTGTGCGGAAGAATTCCATTTTTCCTCCGCATTAGTGTGAAACTGAATGTCAGTGATGTGGTTCCACAAAGAACCAAGAAAACTGATACTATGTTCCAAAAAGATAAATTCGAGCTCTATTTTGTCCATTACTTCGACCTTTCTGAATGACTTAAAACTCTGAAGGACCTCACGGCTGAGCTAGCTAATGCACTGTAACGATTGGATAACTTGTGAACTGTGTGACCCTTAAAATGGATACATTGAGAAGTTTCCCAATTCCAAGCGATTGTTTAGACTGGACTTTTACAAAAAGGAATGAGTGTCTCAAAAGCCGCGTAACAAGCTAGCTCAGCTCAAGAGGGAATGTATGATTAGTTTGGAATAAAGGGTATTCGTATAACAGCAATGCCGCATGAAATACAGATATGAACAGGAGCCTTGGGCTTCCTAATGTGGTACAACTCATAATAGTTTAAGATATCATAGTTTAAGATATCACGACGGTGAGCGCCACGAAAACGTCGCTTAAAACTAAGTAAATTTGCGTTCTTTCAATCTCTATCGCGATTACTCCAACTCATTTACTTTGTCAAATACAATTGAACTCTTTTTGAGCCGAATTCCAAAGAACCATGTTCAAGTTCAGAAAGAAAAAGAAAATTTAGCCGTCGCTTGTTTACGTCCTCCATAAAACGTGGAATTAGGCATTTTCACGTCGTATCCGTGCAGTGACGGCAGAGAAATGTGCAAAAAAGCGTGATGCACGTGCAGAGTTGCTGTTTTGCCTATTCAACCTATTGCTATATTGAAGTTCTCGTTGTCGTCGCCGTCATGACATCTTTTAAAAAGTCTTTTTAAAGAGTATTAAAATGCTCCTCCGAGTCGCTGATAAGTTAGAAAATTCAGAAAAGTACGCACCGTGATTAAATCCTCAGGGCTGAGTATTCCCTCAAACTGGAATATTAGTGGTCCTTTAAAACAAAAGGAATAGTAACACGCCTAGAAATAGAAGTACGACTAGTATTTGTCCCTTTCCGCAGTAGAGCACAGACCACTCCTGATAACAGCTTCACCAACAGTTGTATTGGAGCCAATTACAGAAAGTTGATGACGACTGCAGTACCGAGAGGTGTTGGCGCCCAAGTATAGATGTTTAGTTTTGACATCTTGTCTCATCACAAAAAGGTAGAGATCGTATTCGAGAGAATTCATCGAAGGTGAAACGTATCTTTCGTATCTTTGTCAGTTTTTGAATTTCCGAGATGGCTGTTACTCTGTCATGAGTTGCTTGTTTCTATCATTGCTTTCCCGT